TTTGAAATCCGCATCTAAAAATGGTAGCAATATAGCTAAGACATACGGCACAACTCTGCAGTATACCTAGTTTTTGAACATTATAAAGGCAAAAAACATATTTCGTTACATTTTTAGAACCACTATATATTCAATTTTTTTTTCAAAAAAACTTCCACAGGCTACTGTAATACTTTTTACAAAACTTCTGGATTCCTCCTGCATCGGTTTTTGCTCAGTCGAAATTGACTGAAACAGCAGTCAAGCTCTGAAGAAGCCAACATGATGATTGGCGAAACGTCAGCAATTTTGACTCAGCAAAAACCGACGCAGGAGGAATCCAGAAGTTTTGTAAAAAGTACTACACATTCAGACTCAAAACCTCTACATTTTGTTCCATTTTCAGATGATGTATATGTTTATTTAAGGGCATTTAGAAACATAATATTTACCAAAAATGTTGAATATAAGTGAGCTTTGTGCGGGGCAATCTTGCAATATATTGTTATATTCTAAGGGGTTCCAACGTCTGGGATGATCGAATCGGATGATGAATCGAATCGAAACGTCAAGTTCTCTGCGGTACATACGTCCAACGAAAGTAAAATGAATAGACTAGTCAAAGAAAAATCGTTTACAGAAGCATAAAATTGTAAAAGTGTTTCAACTTTTCCAGTTGATTCAACTAAAATAGGCCAATTTTTTACAAAACTGGATCGTAATAGAATGTTAAATAGCACAAACGGTAATATAAGTAACACTAAATAATATAAACTAGATTTAATAAATTAGTTTGAAAAAATTAAATAAAAAAGTTTTAAAATAACACAACTTTTCACTCTTCTGAAAAATGTTACCTTTGTTAGCAATACGCATAATGTAGCTTTGCAGTCGAGTTAAAAACTATCCTGCTTCTCCTAGAAAGCCAATTTGCGTCCCACAGATAGAAGTTCATTACAAACTTAATAACCCTAATACTGAAAGCTTTTAACGGAGGGCGTAGTTGTGATATTCATGTGGAAAATCATAGAGCAAAACTTCCATTTAGCTCCATTTATGAAAATGACCCATAACTAACCATAAATTATTTATTTATATATATATATATATATATATATATATATATATATATATATATATATATATATATATATATATATATATATATATATATATATATATATATATATATATATATATATATTATATATATGATGACACTATATTCCGGAATATCATCCGTTCGCTTGTTGAACTCCGACTGGGATCCTGCAGACGTTTCGCCAAAATCTCACTTGGCATCTTCAATGTTCGCGCTCCGAAAATACTTCGAACACTCGGAGCGCGAGCATTGAAGATGCCAAGTGAGATTTTGGCGAAACGTCTGCAGGATTCCAGTCGGAGTTCAACAAGCGAACGGATGATATCCCGGAATATAGTGTCATCACATTTTTCCATCCGTGAATCAATACGTGAAAAAAAAAAAATATATATATATATATATATATATATATATATATATATATATATATATATATATATATATATATATATATATATATATATATATATATATATATATATATATATATATATATATATATATATATATATATATATATATATATATATATATATATATATATATATATATATATATATATATATATATATATATATAGACAGAAAGTTTTACTTTTTAATACGGTTTTTCTATTTTTTCTATAAGAAAGAGTGTTAGTGGCACCACAGTAACAACAAAAAGAAAGGCGTCATGGGTTTTAACTTTCATTGGTAGTTGTGTATAGCATTTCTGATTTTTTGATCTCATTAGTGGAACTTAACTAATGTAGAGCCTGGGCTAATAAACACCTAAATACACTATACTGTAGGTATCTAATAATGTAATACTATAGGTGATGACTTTTTTTTAAGATATTATTTACCAATTTTCCTGAAGTAATTATCAGTCAAATTTTACTTGATTTGTTCAACTACCACGAATTTTTTTTGAAAAAGTGACAAATTTGACTTCAAATTAAAACTAATATGCAAAAGGCACCACATAAGAAAATCTAATTCCGTTAGATTTAGTATATCTATTTATTATTGGTTTTAAAGATATTGAGCACTTCACTGTACAATTGGTTTTGGAATGTAATTTTTACACTTTTATAGAATGTTCTAAACTATTTATTTTTCAAATTTAATCGTTTAGCTTAATAGAACATTCTAATGCTGCGTGTCCCTTTGGAAATTATAACTTTGATGAGCTGCGAATTTTTGAGTCCACCCATCTATAAAAATAATAATAATAATAATAATAATAATAGTAATAATAATAATAATAAAATATAATATTAATAATAAATAGCCTCTATTATAACAAAAAAAACAATATACAATATTAATATTTTTCAACGAAAAGTAAACAGGTAGCTCAAAAGCGATGCAGTCTAGCTTTAAATAGGTACTCTACCGAACCGCCAAAGAACTATTTATTATTGATATAAAAAATGGATGAACAACAAATAAAATATGAAAAATACCTGCAAAATCGGAACTATAGAAAATGCAATTGAAGATAAAGAATTTGATAACTCAATATAATCCCTTGCTAATAATATAATTAGCAACACATTATTACGAAAACTGTATTTGTAACAAAAGATCTTTGTACCTTTTTGAAGTCAATTAAGTTGACGATATGCAGCAGATACATGGCCATATTTTCGAAGACCCACAATAAAACGAACACAAGCATTCTGCAACCTTTGGATACGGCACTTACACTCGTTGTCAAGAAAAAAACTATACACTACATCACAGTACTTAAAATGTGAGAGAACAAGTGACTCACATAATTGTTTCCTTAGTCTAAAATTTAAAATATTCTTGTTGCTATATAAGATTTTTAGTGAGAACTATGCCTTTTCAAAGATATTTTTTAAATATTCAAGAAATCTTAGATCGCAATCTATGATCACCCCCAAATCTTTTGCTGAATCGACAACGGAAAGTTTAATATTATCTAACATTATATTAATATTTTGTTTAAGTAACTTCATTTTTATTTCCAAATATCATTAAATGGGATTTTGTTGCGTTTAGCTTTAAATTATGACCACGAGAAAGTTCACTAATCCTGTTAAGATCATGATTTATAAATACCTCTGTATCCATGCTATTATTAAAATCAAAACAGCAATACAATTGAGTATCGTCGGCATATGCCTGAATTTTGCAAAAATTCCCACCCTTTATACGTTCAACAAATATTAAGTTTAATTGTTGGTAATATAAAACTTTACCCGTAGAATAAATTGGATTTAGAATACACCGAGTTTAACGAATACGGTGAAATCTCCATGGTCCGTGAATTTAGTTTTGCGAAGCTAATATTAATTTGTACTGTACGCGGGCCTTCATTATTAATAGAGATTAATTAGATAGCATATTTGAATTTGTCCGTCTACGTTATCCCTCCAGAATATGCATGAGGTATGCCGTATATTCATTAATAATTGATAGGAACGACAAATGCTATGCGAATGCCCTTCCGCAGTTTAAGATAAATTTTACTGCATGAACTTCTTTGTTTTATCAAAATTTCAGTCAACACCAATTTCAGAAGGATGCTAAAATGGAACGCAAATTTCAACACTTACTTGAAATTACAAAAATCTGAAATGAGGTGAAAAATTCGGAACCGTTAATATTTATCATCCATCTCTGCAGTCATATGGCTAGTGATTATTAGAATATTCTTGCTTATTGGTGACTAAGCCGCTAAACATTGTTGCTTTAAATGTCACTTCGTGAACACGAAACATCAACCCATCCATCCAATTCTATCAACGAGCAAGCAATATGAAATTTATATCGTCGCGTAGGGTACACATTGTTGGAAAGTTGCTTTACACGAGAGTCAATTAGGAAATTCCACTGTTCTGCTTATACTGCTTAGTTATGGTTACATCTGGTTATTATTGTTTAGCAGTATATGGTGTAAGAAACGATATTACTTATAAGATACCTTCACTATCGGGTGAGGTTGACTCTAGAAGAGCATTATTTTAATAGAAACAGACTTTGTAAGGAAGCATATTGTTCTTCTTGGCCGGGAATAAATGATTTCTTGGAGTGTCCTTGCTCCGTCAACTTCTGTTATTCGCTTTATGTTTTTCCAGTCTTGAGAAGCACCCTTTGGAACTTTAATATTGTTAACGCTTTGAATAGCGTTGTTATTTTGTGAAATATAAATATGTGAACTAGTTTTAAATCGTAGGACACAGCAGTCCAAACTTTGATTCTGGATCAGCTTTTATTAGAGAGTAAACTATACGATAAGTTCTTGCGGTCTGTGGTATTTGGGGGCGCGTGAAAAGGGAGCGAAACTTCATCGCGTTATTAGTTGAAAATTGCTTCGTTTTGTAGTTAACATTTCTGCATTCAAAGTATTTTGACCAATTAAGGAACAAATCGCGAACTTTTCCCTTACGAATAAAATTTTGCTCCGGGCGAACCGGCAAAATTAACAAAGTTACGAGGAATTTCGCTCCCGGAATAATCCGGAAGGCGGTCGCTATAATTTATTTTGGGGGGCGTTGACTGTTTTACTACTTTATTTATCGATAAAAGCGTTCAAGAAAAAGCCGGGGTGAAATATCACGAAAAGTTTTAAAAGGCTTGCTAATTAATAAAAAGCTCGAATTATTGTTAATTATGAATTTGGCTTCTCCCGGAAAAGTTTTGTGTAATATTCTTGGAAACTAATGGAATTAGAGTCGATCGCTGCATAATGATCCCCGCGCTTATAGAACACAGTCTCAAATTTATTGGTGCCTTAAAGTTCTTACCGTGTCTTTGTGTTGGGGGTATTACGGCGAGGAAAGTGGATAAATTTATGAATACGAAGCTTAAATAGAAAGCAAGTTTTGCATTGTTGAGGGAAAAGATAAACGTGAAAAATCCTTTTTGTATTCCTTTCTGTAAAATAGCTAATTATACACCGATTTAAGGAGCGTCATCTCACCACGTGAGTTTCTTGTCCCACGAATTCGAGCCCCTTCGGTCATTTCCGGGATGTTACCGTACGGGTTTGGGAGCAATCGGATGATTTCGGAGATTTTACCGCACGACTTGAATTTTGACGTTTGTCAATTCTGACGATCATGTAAGTATGTATTATGTATAAGTATGTATTCGTTCGTGTGGTTTTATTTTTTTATTTTCATTTATTAAACATTCGCTCCGCTCGTGTCAAATAAATTCATGAGTCAAATACCGTTTACCGCATTATAATATATTATATTTTGTATATTCGAAATGATCGATATTTAAAAATTGTCTTATTTCGAATTTATATACAAGGTAAATCATTGTTTGACCACCATACTTTTAACCTTGATTAATTCGTATTACACAGTGGCAGAGTAATTTAATTGTAATTGTAATAAAGCTGTGGAAATATACGAAAATTAATAACACATTTTTAATCTACCTGACTGCATATATTTAGTGACCACGAATTAAAAATGAATTTATTCAATTTTAACCTGCACAACCAATTTTAAAAGCTTGTTATCAAATATCATTAACATTTTACCACTTTATCTTTACGTATGTCGAGTTGGGAAGCAGAGCAAGAATATTTGCGTCAATTATGGAATGGAGTGGAAGTTGAAGAAGAACCAGATGACCAAGAAGAACTCGGTGCAGAGGATGATATACTTGAGGCAAGGGACACGGATAGCGAGTTTGAGCAGGAATGTAATGATTAAGATTCAGAAGAAATTGAACCTCCAGCAAAAATCCCAAGAATTGCAAGTTTTGTTGGGAAATGTGGTGGTACAACATGGAGAAAACATTGTACGAAAAAAACCTCAAGGACCAGACGGGAAAATATTATCGTACGCCTTCCTGGAGTAAGAGATTATGCAAGAAACGCCGTTTCGTCAATGGATTGCTGGTCACTTTTTTGCACCGACAATATGTTGCAATCTATTGTTGACAATAGCAACTTATACTTCGTCACAGTTGCTCCAAACTGTTCTAGAGACAGAGCATGTAAACCAACTGACTCAACTGAAATTAAAGCATTAATTGAGTTACTTTACCTGGCCGGAACACTAAAAAGTAGTAGACTGAATACAAAAGAAATTTGGGACAGAACAGGAACTGGAGTTGAACGATTTTGGGTAACAATGTCCGAACAACGTTTCAGATTTCTTCTTAACTGTTTGAGGTTTGATGATCTATCGACCAGAGACCAAAGAAGGCAATTTGATGAACTAGCTCCCATAAGAACAACGTTCGATTGTTTTGTTCAAAACTGTTAATTCGCCTACTTATAGGAACTAATGCAGCTATAGGTGAGGCTTTTCGAGGACGCTGTGGATTTAAGCAGTACATACCAAGTAAGCCTTATAAATATGGAATAAAGATTTTTGCCTTGGTTGATGCTGCTAAGACATACTGCGCTGATTTAGTTTGACAGCAATCTGAGTGTGTTTATAAACTTAAATGCAATAGAACTAGCAAAACAACATTTAGAACGCCGTTCTTTGGAGCTAAATGTGGCACAAGCTGTACGAGATAGAGGACAGTATTATGCTGGAACTTCGACTAATACCCAACCGCATCAGGAAATTATTCCAGGAACCCGAAAGAGATGTTACTCGATTTTACTGCCAAAGGTGTAAAAAATTTGTACGCTTGTCTCACCTCGTAGCTTGGTGTGCTCCTTGCCTTGATTCTTTGGAAAACCAATAAAAAACAAAATTTCAACTATGTTGTAAACTCGTGCGAAAAAAACTCGTGACTCCAGTGCTGTTTACCACACTTGTTGCCTAATATACTATTGAATTATAAGAACATCTGAAGTGTTCAAGTATTGTCCTACAACGTCCTATAACGTCCTTATCAATGACCAACGGAAACCAACAACTAATAAAAGATTAAATATTTCGTGATTTATAAAATATTAGTTTTGTGTATGGGTATTCCTATTTAATTATTATTTTCCTTTAATCTCTTTTTATTTATTTTGAAGCAAAGCTGATTAATTAGAAAGCGCCAAAATGTTAGGTAGTCTTGTATCTCACGGTGACGCTGCTGGATGAGTTTCGGACAGTTGGTAAAAAATCTATAACGCTTTTTGTATATTAGATAATAAGGAGCTGTAAACATTGTAGTAATGAAAGTGCTTCAGAAGGCTATGACGTAAACTTCCGCACCTGCATTTTGCGCCATTTCCTATTTAAACAGCGCTTTCCAGACACTTTTCTCTACTCGCCAAATGTCCGGGATTCAAATTCAAAACTGTTGAGTTGACGAACTGCCAGCGGCCATGATGATTGTTGAACGCCTCAATGTTGTATCGGTTTAAAGCGTTTAGATACTAAAGATATAGAAAAAAAAATTGAAATTTATTCAACCTGCGCATGCGCGAGATCCAACCAATGACCTTGAGGCATTCAATGACTAACATGGCCTCTGACAGATCGTCAGTAAGTTTAAATGCGGTAGTTGTACGGCAGTATTTTCTCAAAGTATGCCTAGATCTCCTTAAATGTCTGGGAAAACGAGTTAAGTCTATGGGATTGGCTGTTTAAAAACTAAATGGCGCAAAGTGCAGGTTAATGGCTGAAATGTAGAAACATGTGCGGATAATCATTCCCTTCTACACGAAAATATCAATGCTGCTTGCGTCAAACCAATTTTTATTGTAGCAGGACCACTATATTGTCTAATAGCAACGTTCTCTGCGTTGCTTAGACTAGTCATCTATACAGGATGTCCAGAAATTACGTTCGAATAATATAAGAAATTTTTTTCATATGGGCCCGAAAATGCAAAAATCAATTTATTAATTTTTAATTAATTAATTAATTAATTGGAAACAAAGTTTGGAAACAATAGTTTTTTTATTAATCTCTTTAAGAATTCGTGATAGACTAACTTATCCCTAACTAGAATTAAAAAATTAAGTCAAGGGACATGCAATAAATAGGTTTATATTTTTTTCTCCAAACCAAAGTAAGATTTTTTTAAAGTTTGACACCGTTCTTTCTAATTTTTTTCATACTTTTTTCACCACTTAAACTATTAGAACGGTATATCCGGACACCCTGTATATGTTCGTACCACGTACCCAGTACTCTCTGGAATCGTTTTGTTTCATCTTGATTAGTTTCAATAATGATTTGGATATACTAGGTTTAATAAATTGAACAATTTCAAGAATTAGAGTTTTAAATAATAGTGTGATTCATCATTGAGCTTAATCGTATTTTGTTTTTTGTTCATCCTGATGTATTGTTACAAAAACTTTAGGTAGAATTATTTTTATTTTGCCAGAATGTATATAGAGACCCAATGCACTGCGAAATCATCTTTAGAAAAATAGCAAAGCCTTATTAAAAATAATATTTGTTTTTAAAATTTTGCATTTCTGCAAAGTCCTATTTTAAATTTTAAATTCTAAACATTTTGATTCCGCCGCAATAGAATAAAATACAAGCGTTTTGGATAGACTCATTCAAAAGTGGTTTAATTTTAATTGCCATTACTTAATAATTAATTTAAATGGATCAGCCCTTGGTCAATTCACACGCTCAATAGAAATGATAAATAAATTATAGCCCGAGTTAGGCACTTTGTTTTATCATATTTATGTAGTTTGAGCCAACTATGCGTTCGAAAACGATTTCAAATAAAGTTAACTTGAAAGCTTTAATTTAGCTTAGGAGCGTCGGTAGATTCGCTATCGGAGGCCGCTATATGAAATAGAATATCCGTCGAGAAATGATAATTCAATAAATTGGTTTATATTTTTTTCTCGAAACTAAAGTTAATTTTTTTAAAAGTTTGGCACTTTTTTTTTCATAGTTTTTTCACCACCTAAACTATTGGCACGTTTTATCTGGACACCCTGTATACCGATAAGTACGTACCTCGTAGCAAGTACTCTCTGGCAACGTTTTGTTTCATCTTGATTAGTTCGAACAATTTCAATCATTAGAGTTTTAAATAATAGCGCGATTCATTGTTCTTAATTGTATTTTGTTTTTTGTTAACCGTTCCACATGATGTATTTTACAAATAGTATATGTGTAGTATTATTTTTATTTGACCAGAATATCTACAGAGACCCAATGTTATGCGAAATCGTCTTTATAAGAATAGCAAAGCCGTAGAAAAAAATTATTATAAATAATATTTGTCCTATTATAAATTTTAAAACACTTTTATTCCCCTGTAATAGAATAAAATACAAGCGCAAAAGGGGTTTAATTTTAATTGCCATTACTTAATAATTAATTTAAATGGATCAGCTCTTGGTCAATTCACACGCTCAATAGAAATGATAATTAAATTATAGTCCGATTTAAGCACTTTAAATAAATTAATTAAGCTTAGGAGCGTCGGTAGATTTTCTATCGGAGGCCGCTATATGAAACAGAATAGCCCTCGAGAGATGACAATTCATTTTTCGTCGACGAATCCCTCAAGAAAAAAAGTGAAAAGAGCATTTCAGACGGTGAATTGGCATTCTTCTAGACTTCGCTAATCCATAAAAGCCTTATATACCCTTTCGCACTCATTTCTTTGAAATAAGTTTGTAACGTTACTTCAGGGTCGCCTTTAAAATGTAACGAAGAATTCTCGTTTGCCATTTTTCATCATTCCTAATGGATTTTTCTTATTAAAAATTGTCGGCGTCGCGTCCTAGGGAAACCATAATATTTTAGGAAGTACGTAACTTCCAGCCTTGCGTTACTTATGGGTCATTCAATTTTCTTCGTTGGTGTCAACATAAGACAAATGTATTAGGAGAGGGGTGCCCTGCTATGCGTGACTATTTTTTTCTCTTTTTTTATACTTCATAATTTTAAAACAGTACATAACTTTGTTTAACGACATTTTGGTCACAAGTTTAATTTGGCAGAGGAGAGAATGATTAATAAATGAGTGACTGAAGAACAAGACAAATGTCACAACACCATCAGTGGTCAAAATCTTGCAAAATCATCCGATCAATCCAAAACCCGTGAGGTATCGAAAACGTCCTAAATGATTTATCGCAGTGGATAACGAAGC